GGGGATGTGGAAATGGCCAAGGGCAAAGCCACAGAAGAACTTAGTGTGCTAATTCATTGGACTGTGTGTGTGTGGGGCGGGGGGGGGATCCAGCTTGGAAGCAGCTGGAGGTTCCTGCCTCTGTTCTAGGACGCCAAAGAAGAGATGAACATTTGGGAGGCCAGGGGTTGCACATGTATTTCTCTACTGGTCCCAGGCCGTGCTGCCAGGGCCAGGATTTTCCAGCTTTGGGGGGGCGGGATTTTCAGAAGTATTTTAGGTCTGTTAAATCATCTAATGGTTTGTTTCCAGTTTTTTAAAAACTTAGCAGGAAATTGCATTTCTAATGTGCAACAGTTCGCCCCCTAACTTTGGGGTGACATATAGCCCGAGGGCTGTGAATTCCCCAACCTCTGCTAGAGGGTCTGATCCACAGTGAGACCTGCCAACCTCCCTGACTTTAATGGCCTGGTCAGGGGGCTTAGAGATAGCAAGAAGCTCTGCGGGCTGAGCTTTGTAAACACTTCCAATCTTGAGTCTCTTCGGGGATGCTAAGATCGCCCTTGGCCCTGCTGGATAAGAACGCAGGAAGCCTCTCTCCTAACCCCCCAAAGGACACCAGGTTGGGCGAGGGCTTTCAGGGTGTTCCTTGCTGGGCAAACCTGGCACGGCCCCTGGGCACGGAAGGGGAGAAGCCCCAAGGATTGGCAGGCCGGATGGCAGGTCCCGCAGCCCCAAAGTCAGTCCTGAAGGGCATCGAGGTACAACATGGGGAAGCAGCAGAATTTAGGATTGCAATTTGAGAGATGAATGCCAGCGGAGAAGATAATATGACTATAGGTTGATCGCAGCAGGTGACAGCCCCTGAGAAAGCAGGGTTGGACCAGGACTTGGCTGGGAAAGAGACCCCCGGGAGGCCCAGGGTGGGAGCTGGACTGGGCAGGAGGCCGTGGCAAGACCACTTTCCTGCTGCCCAGGGAAATACCGTGGGTGGGTGTGTCTGTGGAATCCCCAAGATCTGAGCTGATGTGCCAGTCTTACAGTTGTACATTTATAGTCCACTTTGCCTTGCAAAGGAGCAGTGGGGATTTGGTTCCTTTCGTTAGGGGTGGGGGGTTCATGTCCACTGGTCCAAGGGCGGTTGTGAGCGCCACAGGACTGAGCAGACTAAAAGGACCCACGCGGCCCCGGTCGATTCCTGAACCCCGCCGTGTGTCCCCTCCAGCCGCCACTCCGAAGCCCCAGGGCTGTGACTCTAGCGCTCCCCCTTTCTTTGCTTGCCTTTGGAAGAGCTGGGTAATAACCAACTAATCTTCCCTGGAGTTCTCCACGGACGGACGCACTAACCACTTCCCCAACTCCTCCTTTGCATGCGCCCTGGTGCCCTGGACGGAGGCTGCCCGCCATGTCCCAGGGAGCTGCCCTCTCCGCTGATCCACGGGGTAAGTACTCCGCCTCCCCTCCGGCAGGCATCGCGCCACCTCTGCTAGGTCGCCTTCCTGCTGGGAGGGCCATCCCCCCCCCCCCCCCCCCC